GAAGCAGAGTACCTAGAAAATGGGAAAATAATCAAAATAACAACAGGCTTATCAACACACACTCTCAAATCGAGAAGAGCCTGGGGAGAAATTATCCAAGCCCTGAAAGAAAATAATCTACAATCAAGACTGATGTACCCAGAAAAACTCTCTCTCAAAATTAATGGAGAAATAAGATGTTTCCAAGACAAGGAGGAACTGTGGGAGTTCATGGCCACCAACCCAACCCTACAGAGAGTGCTGAAGGACATTCCAGAGACAGAGAGGAAGGGATACCAGGATTCCAGCAACAGTGGCAGAGAGGCCTCAATGAATGCGGCAGACAGTGGAATGAGAGAGTAAGGTGAACAAATTATAGCAGTAAAGTGGAGTAGCAGACATGAGGCAGAGACGGTAAGCTATAATCTTTAATATAGATAGTCTTGATACACTAAAATTTTAAAAAATGGCAGAGTAGATTAGGAGACAGGCTCCATCAAGATGCTCTGAATGGGAAATACAGTCAGCCCGAATGAGGATTAATAAACTGAAAGTCAAAGATGAGAAAGCAAAGCTATATGCGACAGAAAACCAGAGAGAAATAGGGACATCTCATCCAGCAGCCGCAGATAGATTGGAAAGCTATGAGACTTGTGGGCAGTATATAACTACACAGCTGGAAGGAAGGAAAACCCTATGAATTTAGTGAGTAAAGGAGTACAGCTCAAGATCAAGTTCAGGGGTAGAAAGGTTCAGCAATACTCAGATAGACTACAGGCTGGCCTCCTAATCTAAAAACTAAAGGGGCTAGTGAGACCTAAAACATACAAAGCATCCTGAGAAGGGGAAAGGTGAAAAATAGCCCAAAAAGGGAAGGCAGAGGTCATTGTTAATAGTGTATCAGGATTCAAAAGTCACAATAGTCTTATCGCTCTGTATAGTTTGAATTTATTTTGTTCTGGTCTGTCCACTCATATTGGATTTGAGGGCACAGATATCTAACCCCAAAATAGCAGGTTATATCATGGTAACTGTCCTTAATTTCCTATTAACTTAAACTGAGACTCTGTATTACTTGCATTGTCTTACTATGACTGATCTTATTTGAATCTGGTTTATTAGACCGCGGTTTTGCCTTTGCTGATGTTATTCGAATTTGGTATACTTGATAGTATCAAGTCTAAAAGTAGAGGCAACTACTCTGAAGATGACGAGATGTAAAAGATATCCATACTGGTTTTGATTATTAACCACTCTCAAGTCCTACAATGTTTTCAAAGTTGTGTTTTTATAAAAATAGCTATGTAATACTGTGCTTAACTATATTAAGCCTGATAATGTGGACAAGTCTATTGAAAATAACAAAAGAAAGCATAGTAACTACAGTAGATCACCTAATATTGTGGTCTTAAGTATCTTTTTCATTGCATGTTTTTCTAGGAATTTGTTTTGCTGTCTTGTTATGATTTGTTTTTCCCTATAATACAGAGAGAATAGATATACATGTAGAAATTCACACATGGGAAGAATTTTTTAAACTTTTTACGGGAAAAGATTATATAATGCAAGATGTAATGAACAGATACTCTGAAGAAGAAGAGACACTAAGAAACCCAATGCTAATTCTATAACATTATGATATAAAATCTAGCAATACTATTATTCACTGTTCAGAGTGATATTAGTCTAGTCTCTTAAGTTCAATTTCAGCATACCTAAAGACAAGGAGAGCTACTATGAAGAGAATGAGAGACATTATGGTAGTCATTATTGACTTCGCCAGTGTCAGGTCTTGAAGACCTAAAAAACCTTCATCATCGTGTAATGATTTGATTAGTTCTATAATATGCAGTATGTATTCAATGTGTGTGAAGATGGGAACAACTATTTGGAAGAAAACTAGAGACAATAAGATGGATAGTGAAGATCTCCAGTGGACTTGCTTTGAAATCTGTGTTTCTTTAAATTGTTTCTTTTTGAACTGTTTTGTTCTGTTTTGATGTTACCCTCTTTAAGATAAAAAACAAGTGTGTAGGACTGATAACCATATTACTAAGTTTTTGTTGGATCATTGAGCAGAACTGTTGGCAGTGTCACTACTTAAATGTCACTTTACATACTTTAGGTTTGTAACCTGAACAACTATTTCTAAGATGACAATATGTAACATATCAACTGGTGATTTCTTAGTGTTTATTTTTCTGTAATTCTGTATTATTTCTACCCTTTTTTTCTCCATTTTTTGTTTCTTTCTCTTTAAATAAAAAAAATGGTAACCTAAAGAAGCACAAAAAGAAAAGGTAGGTATTTTGCTAGGCGTGGTGGCACATGGCTCTAAACCCAGAACTAGGAAGGCAGGAGGATTGCCATGAGTTTGAGGCCAGCCTGGGTTATGTAGTGAGTTCAAGCCCAGTCTAAACTACATAGTGAGACCTTGTCTCAAAAAAAAAAGGAAAAGAAAAGAAAAGAAAGCAATGAGAATTTGGGAACATTCTTGGCAGGAGATTCCAGATTGCTATGAATATTATTATGCTTATAGCCTAGTCTTGAATATATATGACCAAAATGCTAGAATAATAAATATATAATATAATATGATATAAAATAATAAAATATATAGAATAACATTCATAGAATGGATTATATATTTGAATACAGTAGAATATAAAATCTAGAATAAAAGTAAAATGTTAGTGAACCACTGAGTAGCTTATATTTTTGTTTCTTATTTCTTTTTTTGGTGGTGCTGAAGTCTGAGATCTGGGCCTTACGTGTACAAGGCAAGTACCATGAGCTCTGAGCTCTGTGTGGGGTCCCCAGGCATTAGCGAGCCATCCTGTGGCTACCCTGGTGGTTCTGACCTATGCCCTGTCCTGTGCTTTTTAGGATCTGCTCACTTACCACAGACCATGGAGGTAGCAGTCAGTCTCAGGATGTTCAAAGACCATAAGTGTTCTAAAAATGTTAGTAAGAATCACAAGCATTGAAGACTCGATTGGCAAGTGACTTCTAGAAGCTTATAGCCAGCATAGCTGCTCTGAGTCATCTCATTTATGGAAGAACCCATTAAAATATCGGACATTGAAGACTAACGTGGTGTTTGTTTTACCTGCCTAAAAATATCTATTGCTTAAAAAACAAAAAACAATGAAAAGGGAACACTTAAGTTGAAATATTTTTCTAATTTTAGAACTTCTAGTTCATGGCAACTGGGAAGGGGTACAGCTCAGGGGACCAGAGTCATTGTCACATTGCTCTAACCCTAGACCTTTCTCAGCTTCACAATTGATTGGGTCAATGAAGCTTATCTACATAAATCACCTCTTTCCAATTCTTCTTAAAATTTCCTTGGCATGGAATTGCAGTAGCCCCCATGGTTCTAGGGAAAAGGATACTTAATTCCACCAAGTGGTGAAGTTCTGCAAGGTGAAGATAAGGCCTTCATTTTAGTCTTAGCAGTGCCTGCCACATAATACTGTAGGCACATGGTGAAAGAGAGTTGGGTTGATTTCTATGTGGATTTTTAAGGGAGGGATGTCTTCAACATTGACTGTACAGCTCTTACCAACACTTACTGGATTCCTGAACTCATGTTATGGTGCTCAATATGATGTCCCTAGAAAAAGCCTCCCTGAACTCAAGGGTCTTCCTGTTATTCTCACTATCATTGCAGGGCTCCACTGTTCACCAGGGAACAGACTGTGTTAGAAAGGACTTCCTACCCTTTTAGTAAATAGGAAACAAAGGAGGTAGCAGAGACGATTGTGCCATAGCCCTCCTACTGCCCAATTTGCTATTTTAATGCAAATTTAAAGAAGTAATAAGGAAACACACAGACACCAAACCTGTCTCTTGCCAAGGGACGATGAGGCAAATCTGTAAAGTATATGAAGTTGCAGGGCATCTTCTTAAACCAGGTCCATGCAAAATAGGCCCTGAGCACCAGAAAGGATTAAGCATTGTGAATACTTTCTGGGCCTGCACTAGCCCCTAAAATGTGCTCACTTCTTGACAGTGTGAGCCCCCAAGAGGCTGCAGGAAAAAGGAACTACCTTTTATGAAAGGTTACACTTTGCCAGGTCTAACACAAGATGCTGTGATGCCTTACAGTATACTTATTTCTCAGAACAACCCTTAGAGCAGAAGTCAGCAATCTGTGACCTGTAGGCCAAATGGAGCTCACCTTCTCTTGATAAAGTTTTATTGGAACACAACCATGCTTGTGCATTTACACATCATCTGTGCCGCTTGCAAACTACAAGGCAGAATTGAATATTTGGGAAAGAGACTGTTTAGTCCCCAAAGCCACCAACATTTACTCTTTTAATCCTTTACAGACAAAAAGTTCAGGCCCCTGTCTCAGAGGAAGGCCTTCACACTAGGTAGGATGACTATGTTAGCTGCAGAACAAACTGTCCAGGAATGTCCAAAGCTTCACACAACAGAGGACTATTTTTCACCCCATGACTTCTCTGCTGTGGGTGGGCAGCGAGTTATTCTCTGCTTAATCATCCAGGGACCAGACTGAAGCTCCATGGCAGCTCCCAAGAGCTAAGTGCCAGCCCCTGGACACCACTGCTCCTGTTCTGCCACCTGGCTGCAAGGGGCTGAAAAATGCAGGGAAGCACAGAGCTGCGTGGTACCCACTGAGTATCCAGGCACAGCACCATCCTCTCTGTTGGACGCAAAAAGGACCAACAGAGGCCTCTAGTTCACAAGTGACACAGCCAGGATTCCAGCTCTGCCCTTTCTGACCCCAAAGCCTATGTTCTCAAAATCTTATGCTTGTCCACAGTTCATTTCTTTTCAAACAGTTCCATTAGTCAATTTCACTAAAGGTTGGGTCCCATCTGACCTTGTTGCCCAGGATTGACAATGGCCAGTGTGAGAGTTAAAGGTCAAGAGCCAATTGCAGAGAACCCAGTGTGGAGCATTCAGGGATTAATTCATCCGTGTAAAAGGAGGAGCAATAAAATGTTCCAAAGGGTGTGCCCATCCCACAGCCAAGAAAGGACACTCACCTGGTATGCAGTTTAAGGAGGTGACACCTGTAGACCACAGGGCATTGGCTGCTCCTTGGCAATCACACTTGCATGCTTTGTGGTACCAGGGGTCCTCGCCCTCGTCCTGCAGGAAGCCAAAGGGCCAGGAAGTCAGAAAAGTCACTGCTAAATGCAGGCATGGTTAGCCGCCCTGGAAAACTTGTTTCAAAGATGACACTTGTTCCTTCCACATCATCTGTGGGTGCTGTGTTCCAATGGCAGGCTTGTTAATTGAGCCTGAACACACACAATTGCCACTCATTTTTTTACTTGAAATAAGCAAATATCTGCCACCATTAGCAACCAGCTGATCATCTCACAGATACACCTTTGTAGAAGGCTGTATCCATCCTCTCTTGGGCTTGGGGAACCCCAGTACAAGGTCGGACTCTTCACATACCCTAGAGGTTCCTATCAGGGAACCTGATTTTAAAGGGTATTAGATTCAAAATTGTATCATCTCATTTAATACCTTGTTTACTTTTAGTCTCACATTAAAATAGAAATCTTGCTAGGGATATGGCTCAGTGGTAGAGCACTTGCATAGCATACTCAAGACCATGAGACCAATCACCAGCATCATAAAACAAACAAATCACTAACCCTGCAGCTTCCCTAGAAACGAATGTATTATTGCTACCACCAGGGTGGGGTGTTAAAAATGTATTTAGGGGAGGCTGAGTCAGGAAGATCACAACTTCAAACTCAACCTGGGCAATTTAGTGAGATACCAGTCTCAAAATTTAAAAAAAAAAAAGGAGGCTGGGCATATAGCTTGGTCTGAAGATTTTAGGTTCAATCCACCACAATGGAAAAATAAAGTCCAAAGCTGGGAGTGTAGCTCTTTGGTAGAACTCATACTTGTTGAGGGCAAGACCCCGGGGTTCCATCCCTAGCATCACAGGAGAATAAGGAAGTGATAGTCTCATACATTACTTTTGGCTAAGAAAAATCTCCAAAAGCAGTCTCTGTGTAAATTCCAGCCTTCTTGCTCCAACATACCTCTGTAGATGATAATCCCAGCGTGGCTAAGAAAAAGAACAAGAGGAAACATGAAATTAAGAAAAGAAGGAGAAATTTGACAGAATCATTCATTACATAGAAAAGTGAAATGAAAACCATCACAGGAAAGTTAACAAAGCTCCTACTGAAAGAAATCAAGCTAAGCACGTCCCTGCTAGAAAAACACCCCAGAGGCTGAGAAATTAGGGACAGTAAAAGAAACAGAAAGAACAGATTGCTAGTTACCGTTTTTGTTCAATATAGAATTTTGTTTGTTTGTTTGTTTGTTTTTTGGTACTGGGAATTAAATCCAGAGCCTTTGTATTGAGCTACACCCCCAGCCCTTTTTAAAAAATTATTGAGATAGAGTCTTTCTAAACCACTCAGGCTGGGCTCTAACTTGTGATCCTCCTGCCTCAGTGTCCCGGAATACTGGCATTACAGTGGTGTGCCACCATGCCTGGCTTCAACATAGAATATTAGAAAATACATTAATGGAGCAAAGCTGGGGTAGGGAGAGCGCCTATATTTATCATCACCAAAGGCAACACTTAACATTTTAGTAAAATTTCCTAATCATCTTACCTTTTCTTTTTCCTTTTGATTTCTTTTTCTTATCTTTTCCCTTTCCTCCTTCTCTCCCTCATTCCCTTCTTCTTTCCTTTGTGCTAGGGGTGGAACCCAGAGCCTCACTAATACTAAATACCTGCTTTATCACTGAGCTACTCCGCCAGCACCATAGTCATTTTCTATGTGTTTGCATTTGCATTTCTCAAGTGTCCACCTTTACATTGTTTAGGATTAGGATTTTGTGTAAAAATTATTTTTTCGGTTTGTCTGTAATGTACAAGAAATATCAAACCACAATCAAAGTATGGATGGCATATAAATATGGAAAAATTGAAAGTTTATAAAATTTAGCATAAAACTAAAATCATTGTTACAAGAGTACAAATGAAGAGTGAATGTACAATTTAATAAGAAAAGAATATGCATACATTAGCATAAAGTTATTAAAGTTGCACTGCCTAATGCAGTAGCCATTAATTCTAGCTACTGGAATTTAAATGACAATTATAGTAATGAAATTTAAATTTCAATGCTCAGTAGTAGAATCTCTTTCTTTTCTTTCTTTTCTTTCTTTCTTTCTTTCTTTCTTTCTTTCTTTCTTTCTTTCTTTCTTTCTTTCTGTGATACTAGGAATTGAACCCAGGGCCTTTGCACTAAGATGCATTCCCAGACCTTTTATAATTTTTGTTTTGATACAACGTCTCACTAAGTTGCTAGGTTGCCAAGACTGGGTTTGAAAATATGATCTTATTGCCTCAGCTTCCCAGAGTGCTGGCTTTATAGGCATGTACCACCACACCTAGCTGAATCAGTCACATTTAAGTGCTTAATAGCCACATGGCTACTGGACAGATACCAAATATTTCCTTCATCTCAGAAAGTTTCATTGGACAGCACTGATTTAAAGCACAGTACAGGTTCGGGACATACCACCAAATAAGTTCTCTTGGCAGACTATTTCTGCTAAAGGGAATTGTAAATCCCCAGAAGCAGGTAGGGTCTCCTTGATCTTCTGCTCCCTCTCTCCTGAAGCAGAACCTGAAAGTCCCCTTGCTCCTTTCTCCCCTGAAGTGGGTCACAGAAACTAGAGTTCCCTTTACCCCTTCTTCCCTGGAGCAGGTCATAAAACTTATGTTCATACTCTGACCTTCTCCCCTAAGTCTGTTATGTGACAGATGCCTTGCCCTGATCTCAGAAGAAAGCAATGCCATACAGAAGAATCTAAGAAACAGGCCTTAAGTGCCCCCAACTCCCCAGTTTATTACATTATAGCACGCACCTTTCTTCCAGTTATACTTCTGTATGACCATACAAATACAGATTGTTCTATTGGGGGATGGTATTGCTGAGGCTCAGGCTCAGGGCCTTCCTCATGCTAGGCAAGTGCTCCACCACTGAGCTACACCTCTAGTGCTGCCTTTTCAGTCTGAAGACCCTCATGCCATTCAAACTTAGTAAATACATAAGCTTTGTTCTTGTTAATCTTTCTTTTGTTATAAGGGTGTCTTAGTTTCTTTTTACTCCTCACTGAGACAAAACATCTGATGCACCAAGTTGGGAAAGGAAAGGTTTATTTCTTACAGTTTTTGGAGGTTTCAGTCCATACTCAGTTGGCTCCAAGACAGGGTGGCATGGCAGGGCCGCAGTTCATGGCAACTGCAAACAGCAAGGCAGAAACCCGCAAGAGAGCAAGACATGCCTTCTTCCTGCCATTACATTACATCCTGGATCCACCCCTATGTGGGTGTAGCATTGACTTTATCAATCCAAGCACTAGACAATGAACCAATCACAGATGCATAATGGAAAGGCATGAGGCCTGGAAGCCACCGACATAAACCATGACAGAGGGTCTCAACTGTGTATCTTAACATGGGTAAGGGAAAGATATTAATTTTCCCCTTTACCACTAAAACTCCATTTCCCTTTTTCAACAAAGCACATTCTATTATTATTACAATTACAATTTTTATTATTTTGAGACAGGGTGTCACTCTGTAGTTCAGAGTATAGTATGTAGCCCAGGCTAACATCAAACTCACTATTATCTTCTACCTTAGTCTCCTGAGTACTGGGATTTCAAGGCTGTGCCATAACGTGTTGCTGTTTCTTTTCTGACTATAAAAGTGACATATATCTATTGTAAATGTTTCAAACAAATCCTGAGTATATAAAATGGGGAAATAAAAGGCCCTTCTTTAAACACCTTGTAATTTATAAAGAAAGAGTGATGTCTACAAAAAGCTTTCTGTGGGAAGTGACTGAGCTAATCAATCACACAGTTGAGTACAGAGCTCAGCCAGCCCCAAGAACATGGCACATGAGAGGCAAGCCATGTGAACAAGTTGTTGAGATTAGAGCAAGGCCAGTCTGGCAGGTGTCTGGCCTTGGCGTTCCTCCCTGTTAACTGTAGCACACATAGCTCTGAGAATGTTTCTCTTTTAGTGTTATCAACAAAACACTGAGACCTTGCACTTTTGACACTGTTGAGTGCTTATGCACTTTGTACTGTGTGTAAATAAAGATACAGACTGAGCTGGGTTACTGCTGCTTCTCCATCAGAGAGGTCAGGTACCACCCTGTCCCAGCTTTCCTTTTATTATGTGTCTGTCTAGTTTTTCTTAATCTTCTGTTGCCTCCTGTTATGATTGATACATTTTGTCAATTTGAGAAGGTCAGAAGTTTAAGTGATTCACCAGGGGCCAGCGTCCTTACTTTGTAACATCCTCAGTCTGTCCAAGAGGAGGGCATGCAATGGTGTGAGTGCTATACACACCAGAGGAGTGTAGCCTGTTTACAACAAAAGGCAAATGAGCAGGAACTGATTTCTGGTTCTTTGGAGAAGCCCCAGTCTTCAGCTTCAGTTTGGACATCATCTCCTGGCTTCTGGTGCAGGCTGTTTGGCTTCTACTTGGGACTCTTCAGCCTTCCATTGTAGACTCTTCAGCCTTCCATCACAAGCCTATCAGCCTGTTGATATGGACTTGCACAGGACACTACAGTAAGCTCCAGACCTTGGGCTGGACCCTTCAGCTTCCAGCATGCAGATGCTCTCTGTACACTCCTCATCCAACTCTGTGGCTGACCATTGTAAGACATTCTTGTAATTTCTTATATATTTGTTTATTTTGTGTTATGTCTGTTACTCTAGTAAACCCTGACCAATACATATTTTGGTACTGGGAATGGCTCAAGAGAAACAGAATTATAATGATGGTATTCTTCAGTGGTTTAAGGGGTTCCTGGAGTTGGCTCTGCATTTGATGAGGCACCTAAAGACACCGTGGTCACTCCTACTTCTGTGGGGTATACTGATAATCTTCAACATGAACTGTTTTACATAATACGCCATGCAGATCCATTTGATTATCCTAATTTACCACTTGTGAAATGTCAGGAATTTAGAAACTCTGTATATGATACTTTTAAATTTCTTTGGCAGAGTAGGAAATATAATGATGTTGATTGGTTGGTCATAACATCCCTAGACAAATAACTGAAAGAAAATGATCTCCAAATATTCATAAGAAATTTAAAGCCTTCTGGTAGTGAGGACTAATTGATAAAGGAAAATAAGGAACTCAGAGATTCAAATTTCCAGCTCCTGACACAAATAAGAAATTTAAAAATTTCCAAGTGTGTCCTGCAAGAAAATCTCCTCTTTTAACCACAAGGCTAAGATTACAGAAACCCAGACACAGTGTCTCATAATTTGATTGGCTGAACTGCAACGTAAGTTTAACACTCAGCCTTGAAGAGTGTCTGATGTAAAGGTGAGGACACTGATTGGAAAGGAATGGGATCCCATAAACTGGGGTGGAGACATGTGGAAGGACACTAAGGAAGCTGAGGGTGTTGAGTTTCTAGGTGTTGATGAGATTATTTTGCCAGATGAAGAAATTTCTCTATGCACAGTGGCAGAGGCATCACCACCTCCACCCACTCTGGTGTTAGCATCTGCCAGTATGCCTGGGGAAGCTAATCCTGTGTCAGCCATAGAGGATAATGCTGACACTCCCCAGGACCCACCCTCACCATCCATTTTTGCCTCCAAATCCATGACCAGGCTCAAATCACAGAAGGCTCCTAAGGGTGAGGTACATGGTATGAGCCATGAGGAGGTTCACTATTCTCCCAAAGAACTTCTTGAGTTTTCTAACTCTTATAAGCAGAGGCCTATGAGCAAGCTTGGGAATGGATTTTATGAGTGTGGGATAATGGTGGCAAAAATATACACCTGGATCAGGCTGAGTTTGTTGATATAGGCTCATTAAGCAGAGATTCTGAATTTAATGTCATAGCTCCTGGAGTAAAAAAAGGTGTTTAACAGTTTATTTGGCTGGTTGGCAGATATATGGCTCAAAAGATGGCCCACTATGAATGAGTTAGAGATGCCTGATATTCCATGGTTTACTGTTAATGAGGGGATTCAGAGGCTTAGGGAAATGGGAATGCT